ACGCACCATTGTGAAGCCACCTCAGTGGCCTACGTAGCATGGGACTAACACCAGATCCAGTGGTGTTACTCCTTCATACCTGCAGAAGCTGTCCCTGCAGCTCCTCAGTATGAATAACTCAGGGAAGAGAATCTGAGGGAGGGTGATACCAGCCCCTTCCTCTAGTGATTCCCATTGAGTTCTGTGTGACCACTTCCTTCCTGTCATCAGGGAGGGGGGCTTGCTTCCTGCCACAGGTCTCCATTTTCCTCAAGGTAGACAAATATAAGGAAGAGGAGCTTTGTCACCCACTTAGGACTAACTTCAAACCTCAGCATAACTAAATCCTGGAATGAAGTCCTGGTTGATTTTTCTCCTGGCATTATTTGGACCCTGTATCCTCGGGCACTTTATGCTAACATCCCTTTTCAAGGTAACAACCCCATTTTACAAATAAGAAATCTGCTGTCGATGAAGGTTCAGTAATTGGTGGAACCAGGGATGTTAAGTGCCTCTGGCAGGATTGACTGAGTCCTGGCCTCTCAACCCCTGCTCTTCCTATTCTGCCACCAGAATGTGTTGATAGAGATGCACCGTTTGTAGCAGTTAATTTGAGTTGTTCATCATCTATGATGGAGCCATATTTTACCAGAGGGTCCCTCTTATCAGTCATCATTTACATGTCTAAGTACTTGAATATATAGTTAATGGCCATGAAGGTTATTTTTTTCTCTCTGAAGGTTGAACAAGTCAGACAAGTTTTGAACCTGGTGGTCTTTTTATATTAATACAACACAGAAGCTTTTCTGAGCATCTTTCTTTTTTAAGTTGTCCAGGTGCAGAGAATTGCATTAAACATAATCTTCATCACATGTTACCATTCGTTGTTGGTCTGCTGGGGGTCCCCAACTGGTTTTCTTTACTCCCTTGTATTCCTGTTTTTCTCCACCCACCATAATTAACCATTCTAACGTGTTAAATATTTGCATCTTTGTGTATGCACTTCCAAGACCCGTATTGTGTTTTTCTCTGCAGAAATCTTAATTTGCATAAATGGTATTACATCAATGGTATTGGCCTACTGTTTTCCTCACTTTATATTCATAACTATTTGAAAATCTCTATGTCACTACTTCCAATTAATTGCTTCTGCCTGCTGATGGTACAGCGTGATGTCCATATTCCATATTTCACCTATCCTTTCTCCCAGTGATGTACACCCGCATTATCTCCAACCCCCCTACTGTCTCAAGTAACATCCCCTTAACACCTATATAAGAAGACTTCATTAGCATGTGTATATCCAAGAGTGGAATTGCTGGTTTGTAGAATATATGTATGCTTCATCTGATGAAAGAGTGTGTTCTGATGAAACTGCTGTACCATTCAGCCCTCCCAACTACAGTTTTTTATTGATTTACAGTTTTCCAGGGCCCTGAGGTGGCACACTTGGTTGAGCATCTGACTTTTTTTTTTAATTTTTGTTTTTAATGTTTTTATTTATGTTCGGGAGAGAGAGACAGAGCATGAGCAGGGGAAGGCAGAGAGAGAGGGAGACACAGAGTCTGAAGTAGGCTCCAGGCTCTGTGCTGATAGAACAGCGCTTGAACCCACAAATCATGAGATCATGATTTGAGCCAAAGTCATATGCTTAACCAACTGAGCCAGCCAGGTGCCCCATGAGCATTTGACTCTTGATTTGGGTTCAGGTCATGATCCCAGGGTCATTGGGTTGAGCCCCGTGTTGGGCTTTGCACTGAGTGTGGAGCCTGCTCAAGATTCATTCTCTCTCTCTCCCTCTCTCCCTCTCTCCCTCTCTCCCTCCCTCCCTTTTCCCCTCCCTCCCTCTCTCCCCCTTCCTCTCCCTCTCTCCCCCATCCCTCTCTCAACTTAAGCACCTACACTCTCTCTCTAAAATAAAATAATTTTTTAAAATAGTCATCATTCTTCATAGTTTTATCACACTGTTTTCAAAGACACAGTCTGTATGATATTTATTCTTTTGGAAGTTTCGTTTATGGCCCAACACACTATTGCTGTAATTGTTCTTGTGTGCCTCCCCAGATGTATATATTTTCTGTCTGTCAGATGGAAAGTTCTCTTATATCTATTACTTTGAGCTTATGGTGTTGTTAAAGTCTTCAGTATCTTTTTTAAATCATCTCTTTCTGCTTTATTACTTTCTGAAAGGTATGTCAAAATTTGTGTTCTATTTGGTTTTCTTAGCTGTAGTGGCATTTAACTTTCTTAACCCTGTCACTCTAATGAACAAAGCTGATGAAAGTGTCCAGGAGTCAGTCGAATCTAGAAGACCTCTTACATGCAGTGTCTTCTCAAGGCCCATCTGCAGGGGACCTTAGGACACCTCTGCAGAGTCCCCAGTCAGAATCTCTGTAAACCTTGTACTCTGATTTCTTATCACTCACCCACTAGCCCTGAGAATTTTCAGTTTGCAGCCAAATGGGCTCTCACATGCTCCTCCTCACTCCACCTGCATATGTGCTTCTGAATTCACTATTCCGGAACCCCACAGAGTTCTTCTCATGACCAAATTCTGTGCCTTATTCAAAATGCTTCTCAAAATATGCTGCTTCCATGAAATGTCTTCTAGACATTTCACTTCTTAAAACTCTAAAAGCACCTATTGCTCATACAATTAATTCAGTATTTATTCACTGTCCTAATTCGCTAATAAATATTTATTCAGTGACGAGCACTTGTGATGGGAACTTCTATTTAAATAATTGTAGCTGTTGGGGCACCTGGGTATCTCAGTAGTTTGAGCATTCAACTCAGGTTATGGTCCCAGAGTTCTGAGATCGAGCCCTGTGTTGGGCTCCACACTAAGCGTGGAGCCTACTTAAGATTCTCTCTCCCTCTCTCTCTCTCTCTCTCTCTCTCCCTCCCTCCCTCCCTCCCTCCCTCCCTTTCTCTCTCTCTCCCTCTCTCCCTCTCTCTCTGCCCAACTCCCTCACTTGTGCTCTCTTTTTCTAAAATAAAAATAATTTTTGTTGTTTAATATTTGCTGTATTTGTTTCCTTCATTTTGCTGTGTAAGCATCTTGAGGGTCATATGTGTCCCACATCTCTATTCATTAAAATACTCACATAGCATATTGTTCTTGATAATTGAGCAACAGAAGCACTTTGAACTTATTTACATCAATCTTAATATGACTTTTTGCCTACATATAGAGTAGTTTTGTTACATTACAAGATTTGTATTTTACTGTATTTTGCTAATTGTGTTCTTTATTATTAATAACAAGTTTTATGTGTAAAAGTTAAGATTCTTTTCTAAAGTGTTTTTTGTTTTAATTAGAGAAAATGAGGGGGGGGGGGGGCGGGCAGAGAGATGGATCCGAAGTGGACTCCGTGCTAATAGCAGAGAACCCCATGCGGGGTTCAAAGTCATGAACCTGATCATGACCTGAGCTGAAGTCGGACACTTAACCAACCGAGCCACCCAAATGCCCCAAGATTCTTTTCAAAATCACTGTGAAGCAAGCAGATTTATTCTTTTTTCTAAAATAAGCAGCCATTTATATGGTAAATTCTTTTAATGTAAATTTCTATACAAAGTATTTTTATGAGTTTAAATTTATCTATCTTAAGGCAGGGTTTGTTAGGTCTGGTAAAGTGATACCAATGGCCTACGCTGTTTTGTGCTCCTCCCCCTTAGCACTAATTATTTGAGTTCAGCTTTGAATTTGTAAGGTTCCATGTAAGGATGGTGAACCTGCGTCAAGCATTAGACTGAGCATAGAGAGTTCTGAGATAGTCACAGTCTACTCACTGGTTATTCAGCTGAGAAGATGATTGTATCACACTGTAGGTATCAACCTTTGCGCTGCAGCAACACACCTGGCCCAAGCTGGTGCTGTGTGGAGTACAAGACATGCTTAAAGTAGCATCATCCCCCACCCCAATCTGCTGGCATGGTTTTGTTGCACATAACCAACACAAGTAAAGCCTAACCAGCCAAATCCTAAAGTAGCTAATTTAGACCATAAAGGAGAAGTGAGGAAAGACAGAAGATTGAATAAAAGAATTATAGAATACCTACTAAGTCCTTTAAGGTTTATTTTATTTCATTTCCCCAACATCCATGAAGTGGGTGTTATATGCCCATTTTACAGATGAAGAAGTAGAATTCCATAGAATAAAATAATGTGTTAATTATTGGACACAAGTGGTTGATTTGTGTATTGAATTCAGATCCAACAGCTAAATCAACATCCTTAATTCCCCCTTGTTTTTACTCATTTAACATGCAAGGACTTTATACCCTTTGTATACTTAAATATAATTATTTAGAATTAATTGTTGGGACGCCTGGTGGCTCAGTTGATTAAGCATCCTACTTCGGCTCAGGTCATGATCTCAAGTTCGAGAGTTCAAGCCCCGTGTCGAGCTCTGTGCTGACAGCTCAGAGCCTAGAGCCTGCTTTGGATTCTGTGTCTCCCTCTCTGCTCCTCCCCCACTTGCACTCTGTCTCACTGTCTCTGTCTGCCTGTCTGTCTGTCTCTCTTTTAGAAATTAAAAAAAAAAATTTTTATTTTTTAAAAAAATTGTTGGTTTTCTTTCTTACTGGACTGTGAGTCCACGAGAATAGGAATGTTGTCTTTTTTGTTTAGAATGACATCTGTCTTGGCATATAGCTGGTGATCAGTATATATTCTTTTTTTCCCACCCACCCTCTCTCTTTTTTTGGAGGGAGACAGGAAAGCTAGGGTTTCTACCACACTGTGTTGACTGTCTTAGGTAAAAAAATAATGCACAGAAAGTCTGGGCCAATGTGACCTGTACAATCAGAAGGCTTTATGGCTGAACTAAACTCTTTAGATGGAATAATTAACTGGAACCTACACATAAGGCTATTAATGACCTCTACTACTTCATTCTCAGAAAGGGACCATTATGGTAGAGGAATCAAGGTAAAGGTGGGGACGTGCCGACACCTTTATAATATAGATTCAAGTGCTCTATTCAAATTATTTTACCCTTTTTTTTTTTTAATAGAAAAAATCAGGCAAAGATATGCAGACCTGCCTGGAGAATTGCACATTATTGAGCTTGAAAAGGATAAGAATGGACTTGGACTCAGCCTTGCTGGCAACAAAGACAGGTCACGCATGAGCATATTTGTGGTGGGAATTAACCCAGAAGGACCTGCTGCCACGGATGGGCGAATGCGTATTGGAGATGAACTGTTGGAGGTGAGAGGCACAGATTTTTAATTTCTCTTCTGGTAAGGTGAAGGGGTGAAGGGGGCGATGTACAGGAAAATGAGACGATGGGGAAGAATGTTACAAATTATATTTTCTTCGACTATTCAAAATCATTTTCTAGGGGAAGAACAGAAATCACATCGTTGCTTGCAGACATTACTTGCTGCTTGAGTAAAAACTAATCTTGCAAAATAATTTAGGGGCCCTTGAGTTAAAATCTCATGGAAGCCTATTAATAGGATAGGATTGTTTTTAACATAAATTCTGAAATGTTCAAAACTAAATTGTGTATTGATCTACTGAATTGTGTATTGATCTACTACTACTATCTACTCATATTTATCAAAATTCTCTTTAGCCTTAGAATAAACCGTAAGTATGGCATTTGTTTTTGTTGTTGTTATTTAGTTTTTTGGGGAAAGTGTTAGAACCAACAAACCTTTGTGAACTGGTTGTCAAGGCTTGGTTAATATCTGCGAAGTTGGTGATGTGGGCTAAGGCCACATAGATTCCTTATTTAAGAATAGGATAAAGGTAAGAAAGGCTAAGGAGACAGCTCATCCTTTGCTCATTACTCTCTAGATGATTTCATCAGTAATCTGAAAAAGTTATTCTTGTTTTCTTCACTTAAAGTCAGGGTGTTTTGTTTTGTTTTTTAAGTTTATTTATTTTGAGAGAGAGAGAGAGCATGCGTGTGTGTGTTCCAGTGGGGGAGGGGCAGAGAGAGACGGGGAGAGAGAGAATCCCAAGTAGGCTCTGCACTGCTGGAGCAGAGGGGATGTGGGGCTCAAACTCCATGAACCGTGAGATCATGACCTGAGCCAAAGTCAGATGCTTGACCTAGTGAACCACCCAGGTGCCCCTAAAGTCAGAGTTTCTGTTCTGAGTTTATCTTATTTTGATATTCATTTGCTTGTTGAGTCCTTCATTCATTCAGCTAACATTGTTTGAGTGTCTCTTAGAATCAGGCACAGAAAAAAAGATGAATACATCCAGCCCCTTCATTCAGATAGCTCACAGTCTAGAGGAAGAAAACAGACATAAAAAGATTGTTGCCCTGCAAAATAAAAAATATAATAAGAATAGCGGCCAATATATACACGGTATATATACTAGTGGGGTCACAGAGTAAACTTTGCTGCTGGGATTCAGGATCAGGCAGTTTGACTTCTCAGCTCTCTGGGCTTTTTTTGTTGTTTGTGTGATTTTTTTTCCTAAATATTTTTATTTATTTTTGAGAGAGACAGAGCACAAGTGGGAGAGGAGTAATGAGAGAGGGAGACACAGAATCTGAAGCAGGCTCCAGGCTCTGAGCTGTCAGCACAGAGCCTGACACGGGGCTTGAACCCACTAACTATGAGATCATGACCTGAGCCAAATTCAGATGCTTAACCGACTGAGCCACCCAGGTGCCCCCTCTCAGCTCTGTTAACCAATGCATTCCACAGCCTCTTGGATAAGATGCTCCAATGTTTGGACATTTAAAGGACCTGAATCACAGAGGCCCCAAATATCAGACTGCTCACTGAAAATGAGAGTTAGTGATTTTGCATTTTATGATTTCTTCCTCAGACTTTGCCTCAGAATAGAATTCACAGGCACCCATAATCTGACTTGCTTAATACAGCCAAAGCTGGTCACACAACACTGTGCGGCCATTAACATCATGCCTCTTTCCTAAGCCCCGGTGGTTTCTCCCCCTCTAAAAGCTGTTTCCACAAAGAAGTCTTTTGGAATTAGTTCTCTGGTTCTTTTGTAATACAGCATCCTGAAAGGGACCCACACTGCATAGTAGCAGTGACCTGCATAATCATTAATTAAATAAACAAAAAATCAAAGGTGACAGTATGTAATAACCAACATAATTCATCACTTCAAGTTTATTTCCTTTGGCTGATGCTTGGAGATTACATTGATGGTTGTGGTATTCAAGGTGAAAATAGAAACTAATTTACCGAGTTATCACTGGTACTTTACTTAGGTGCTCTCACATTTGTATTCAGTATTCTTAACAGCCCTATCCGGTAAATACTTGTACTGTCCTCATTTTGTGGATAAGTAAACTGTGTAAGTAATTTGCCTAATATTACAGAACTAAATTCCTAAGTTTCAGTAAGAACCCAGACTCACCAGACTCCAAGATTCCTACTTTAAGTGTGCCCTGTGGTACTTCAACCCAAACCCCATATGTTTTAGATCCATGAGAATCCTGATTTATGATATCCTTATCTTTAGGGAATCATGTATCTGAAGATAATCTATTATATGCACCTAGACATAGATTTCCTATCTTGTATATATGAAAATGTCCCAAAGACGGTAATGTAGAACACAAAGATTCTAGTTCTATTCTATCTTATTAAGACTCAAGATGGAGGAGCGCCTGGGTAGCTCATTCGATTGGGCGCCTGACTCTTGATTTCAGCTCAAGTCATGATCTCTTGGTTTGTGAGTTTGAGCTCCCTATCGGACTCTGTGCTGACAGTAAGGTGCCTGCTTGGGATTCTCTCCCTCTGTCTCTGCTGCTCTCCTACTCCCTCCCTCCCTCCCCGACCTCTCAAACAATGGCCAAATAATGGCCTATGGGATCCAGACCAATAGGAGCACTGGTATATTATTTCCCTGACATTGTATTTGATACAGGTAACAAATGAGCACTGACTGCTGAGTAGTGAATGTGTGTTAGAGTCCACACTTAAAAGTCTGTACTGTGTATAGGGCAGCCAGCACTGAACTTGGAAGACCTGCTTTCACTTATCCCAGTTCTTCCAGTTATTAGTTGCATTTCAGAAGGGGCTTAATTAACAAAACACACTGCACATAGTTGACTGTTAATTAGATCACATTTCCTCCCTTGTAGACAGAAGGTTCAGTCTGTTTTCTATGCTAGAAGCTGAAAGGGCTCTCTTGTCTGAAAAAGGATATTAACATCTTGCCATATTGGACCTCACCTATTTTTTTTTTTTTTGGACATTCTGAATTTGGCTCCTTTGTTGTTATTCAACAACTTCATCTTCTTGCAGAGATGGAAACAGCAAGATGATTAAACATGGCAGTAAGTTGATCTTCCTCCAATCGCCCTAATTTTTTTCTCTAAAAAAAAAAAAAGATCGATAAATATATGTTGGAACATAGATTCTAGCTTCCCATATCTTTGGCTAGTTACTTACCTTCTCTAACCCTCAGTTGCCTCCTTTATCAAATGAAAATTACATATTCAGCAAGTGTCTTGCTATGCATCTCTCCTGCAAGAAGCAAGGTATGAACAAAGTGCTGACTTTACATCAGTAAACAAAATCCATGGTACCTCTTCTAGAACTTATAGTCTAGTTGACTGCATAGCATCAACTTACGAGGGTGTTCTAAGAATTAATAAGAGGGGCGCCTGGGTGGCTTAGTTGGTTGAGCGTCCGACTTTCGCTTAGGTCATGATCTCGCGGTTAGTGGGTTCGAGCCCCACATCGGGCTCTGTGCTGACTGCCAGCTCAGAGCCTGGAGCCTGTTTCAGACTCCCTCTCTCTCTAACCCTCCCATGCTCATGCTGTCTCTCTCTCTCTCTCCTAGAAATAAAAAATAAATAAATAAATAAATAAAAGAATTAATGAGAAAAGGTAGGTCAGATTTTTGCTGCAGTATCTGGCACAAAATAACGCATGTCAACTGATATTACTTATAAAATAATATTTTCATGTGGATTTGTGTGTTTGGGTTTTTTTTAGTTTGTTTATAGTAATACATTGGCCTCTGAAAGTATGTCCCCAAGGGAAGCCATTATCTTCCTTGATAGCTCCATGTAAGCATCTTAAGAAACTAAGAAAATGGAAACATGCACAGAATGGATTCGTAAGCAGTTATAACCCATCTTCTCATGTGACTTTTGGCTGTAGGTCAGGGATGACAGGAAAAAAAATTGTGTGGGAAACATTCCCTGGTTTCTTTATATAGCTGAGAAAAATTTTAATCATTTTGCTATGAAATGTGAGGAATTTATATATTGCATGATATCAAATCAAATGTGCTTTTATTTTTAAGGTTTGTTGATTTATTTTTGAGAGACAGAGCATGAGCTGGGTAGGGGCAGAGAGAGAGGGAGACACAGAATCTGAAGCAGGCTCCAGGCTCTGAGCTGCAGCACAGAGCCCAATGCGGGGCTCAAACCATGAGATCATGACCTGAGCCAAAGTCAGATGCTTAACTGACTGAGCCACCCACATCCTAAATCCAATGTACTTCTGAATGAGAATAGGAAATTGGTTTCACGATGCATACCAGGAAAGCTAAAAGCCAATGTTAAAATAGCTGTTCTTCGGATATTACAGAGCAGTGGATGGTAGAAAGACACTATGTTGTATGGCAGCCATTTATAGTGGGCTTTTAGGTTACACTTACTAGGTTTCTGGGCTAGAGCAAACCTTGTATTTTTGCTTACCCACCCACACTCCATTTCATTCTGTGACTTCTCTCCCTGATGAGGTAAAATTATCTGTGTCTTGATTGTTTTTACAACTCCACCATTTCTTAACATTCTTTCTCATGACTGCTTTGTTGCTATTGTTGTGTTATTACTTTGCTCTGAGCTTCCTTTTATTTATAGTCGATCTGACTTATTTTAGGCCCCAAGATGAGGCTAACTTACAGGAAGTAGAAAAGAGCTTTGTCGAATGTGCACTGTTGCCGCCTTCCTTGAAGTCAGAAGCTCTGTTTCTTTCCCGGAGCCTGTCGGCCACTGATCTCCAGACGCCATTCGCAGCGGTTTTCTTGCTGTGGGACTGCATTGTTAACAGTGCAAGAGCAGCCCAGAGTTCTGTCGATCGATGGCCCAGTTCATGTACAAAAGAGAAATCTTACATTAAACCCCCCAGAAGACAATGTGATTAAATCTCAGCTTCTTTACCCTTTACTGCGATGCTGGTGTGGGGGCTCTGAGTTAATTTCAAAAGGCATTAGCATATAATTACCATGTAGACTACAATGAGACTTGCATCAGA